TCAAGGTTTGCTCATTCTACCTAAAGTTTACCTTCTGTTAGTAGTTGCTATGAGTCGCAAGATGACATAATGCTTCATTCTTGGCAAGTCATCAAAATATCTTCATTGACAGACATTGTCCCGATGTGATAGTGTGATGCACTTTCAGGAAATGGAAAGTCAGTAGGGACTTGGGTGAATAAGTTCACCTTCTTGGTCTAGACAGTTATCTGGTACCGCTATGGGCTGGTGGCATGGGGCGAACTATCGTACGTTTCCAAGTTCTTCTTCGATAATATGTTGTTGCGAACTTCATATTTCCTCTATAACAGCGCGTTCGAAAGGTGTTACCTTCCCCGATATCGCCTTCATCTCAATGCTCTCCCCCCCCCTCCCCACACCAAACATTGATCGGGATAGCTGGCTTCAAAGTCTCCAAAGAGCCTTAACCCTTTTAGTGTCAAGGGAACGATATATCGTCGTTTTTAGCCTACGATTCGGCTGCGTGGCACTAAAAGGGTTATTAACCTTCAAGGTTATGTCTCCTATTTCCTTTCCACTCTACCTTCTCTTACTATCCCTTTTTCACTCTGAGAAGGAAAATTGCCTTTTGTTCATGCACGTACCAACTACACTGAGAAAATTTAATTTTTTATGAAATGAATATTCATGTACGGAGTATATAAGTTAGAAGTGTTGCATGTACATGAAGACAAAAATGCATATAACGAGATCCTAACATGCTTATCAATGTCATCATGGTCAAGTTTCGTCCGCACGTTATTTTAATGTACTAACTGTGATTATTCTAATAGAGTGCGGGTGAGACAAAGTTCATCATTTCCGATTTTACAAAATTATAGAAGTATTGTTGTTGGCATTGAGCACAGACTGGTAATTGCAGCCGAATCAAAAGACAGACTTTCGTTAAGCACTGTCCCAATGATGCAGCCACCTATCGTATGCGTCGACAAAGAATTATGTGGGTTGGCTCTACAGCCAATGTCCAACAACTGCGGTCGGGCCATCACGGGCGTAGAATTTCTATCGGCGCAGGAAACGTTTCAGTGCAGAGAAAAGATGAAAGGTGAATCTGTACGTAAATGTCTCACTCTGTGACACTTACGCATTCTCCTCACATCCTCCTTCACGAGGAATACAATGATTATAAACTGTTTTCTTTTACATCCATTCTCGGGACAGTCCTAATTCTCGTAATTAATTTTCGAAAATGAAGAATGGTGAAGTTCAGTCGCAACCATGATCTTGAATCTTTTCTTGTAAGTAGTTTTCTGCTGAATTTAAGAAACAGTGGTTTTTTTCTTGGCTCAACACCAACTACGCCTTCTAGGGTTTTATGGTGAAGACAATCTCATATTCGCTCAGCAAGAACGCATCAATGCAAACTAATCAGCCTCTCGGCCTGAATCCCTTATTTGCTCATTAGCTCTCAAATTACCGGGTGAAGGTCTAGTGGAGGTTAATCGGAGCCGTAGAAGAGCCGTATGTAAACCTTACTCGGGTCGCAATATCAACGCCCAGGACAAAGAAACCCAATAATCGACACGAATCTTAGCTGCCTAGGAATGAGTCAACATACCTTTCTCCATTATTCCTTCTCATCCTCATTTAATACATACCCTCAAGATCACGAGCAAGGGAGAATTTCGTTCTTGTCACGCTCACGACGGTGTCTACCTTCATCTAATAACAGCATTAGTCCCGACTCACCAGTCATGAGTCGCGACTCGTGAGAGGTGGATCATGCGTACCTCTACTCGGATTCCCCGTGGAGACTCGAGTAGCCCTCAACGCGAGTTCAATAGAAGACTGCCAGCATTGCTTACATATTGCAGCATTGATCGCTGTGAAATTATGAAGCATATTTAGCACATTTTAGTATATAATGACCTCGTATTACAGTGATTCCATAGCCTTTCATTGCCTCTTATCAGCCTTGAGAGATTATGGATAAACCATGCTGGATGACATGTGATTAGCAACACCGACGAATATTAAGCGTTCACTTCAGATTACAATGACTCGATAAACCATGAAGCCATCTTGACTAGGACGTGATAGGTCTAGGCCTCAGATTATTGATAATACGACTTCAGCCAAGTAGATGACAGTCCTTTAGTATGCTTCCACTTCGTCAAGAAAGAGAGTCGAAGCTGAATGAAGGCACAAATTCATTACAATGCTAGCTGGGTTAACTCCGGTTTTCTCTGTGGCAACAATCAGCAAATCGTAGAACCGCCTTTTTCTCCTCTGTTCCTATCCCGGCATGGACTTTGCAAAAAATATGGAAAGATAGCTCCCGCCTCTCCCATTGGTAATACGACTTTTTAATGACCATTCCCCTTGAATTGGAAGGTAGTGAAGTGATGAGCACGTCGAAGGAACGGGAATATTCCTACCTCTGACATTACACCAAGACACACGGGCATCAATCACAGGTACGTCGCGAAATTCAAGAGCGTGGAAAACTGAATATTACTTCGAATCCCGCCTTCGACGAACAGGTGCGACATACTGAGAGCTGACCAACAGACTCACTTTGTCGTACGGAATAATCACAACAAACACGCTTCGGACATACAACGCGATTCTCACTAGGGATTGGAATATATTGGGTACGGATATGATAATAAGATAAACATGCAGCCGTTTATATTTATCTATAAGGAAATCGGTCATTGAGAGCAAAATATTTCGAATCCAAGTTGATTTCTCGCTGAAAGAGGTGAGCCATTGTGCTTAATCGATTTCGCAGGGATCATGGTGTTATCTAAGGCGGATACATGCAGATCAGAATGAAGTGTGTAAGTGTGAACTAACTTTACTCAGAAAGTGATCCTCCAACTGGAAAATTGGTGTTGCCCAGGTTGAGGGACGGTCCATATCGCATGAATTTCAGTGAGTCGATATTTGGAATCGCGGGGATTTCCACATATTTTACTAGCGAACTTCAAAGTGCTTCCGTTTATAAACCAGCAAAAGGAAAATAATTTACAATAAAAAAGATATTACATTCCCCATAAAACGTAGACGCATACCTGTTGAAATACGCTCAGCCGTAGCTTTCTTTTTTTTATCCACACCCAGCATACAGAATGTATACAGGCTACATTCTACGCAGTTACATTTTCCATTTTCTAATATGACGACTCTAAGGCTACCTCAGTACAACTGGGGCAAGGAAAGAAACCATTCAGCTTTTCCTTTCATACATTTTTCAGTTTCAAGGCAGATCAATCCATCTCCCCTTCGTCACACTTCATGAGCATTAAACTGGATGAACAAAAAACTAAGCAAACAAGTTAACTGTCTTTGATGTATAACTCTCGCCCGAAGGTGTGTTACGAGGAAAGGGTTCCAGCTGGTTTGAATCATCCGCGTTGCAGGCAGGTAGAAGACCCATGGACCATGAACCTGAGCTTCAGACTGATTGCATTCGTACGTCTGGCCCTCTCGGTCTTCAAGCCTCCACCGTTACTTAAATGAAAACTCTCCCTCCATGGGTGGGCCCTTCATAAGGGCTCTTCACAAGTAGCTGCCTGTGAACCATAGCCGTAGGGCTCACTCCTAAGTTCGATGATAACTCTCCACCTAAGTTGCTGACCCGATAACAATCTCAGGAAAGATTAGCTCCGTTCACTATGCATTTGAACGTCCCATTTGACATAGCCAGCGGTTCTCAAAATGAGGGGGACAAGCCCTAGGGAAGGCGCGAGAGGGTCTCGGGGGATTCAAGAGGTTATGGGGTTTATGGAATTTTTAAATTACAATAAGCGAATTTAAAACCGTCTCACATTGTTTTTTTTTTATTCAAATATTTTATTTCCTTCTCAGCCTTGTGAAGATGCTCAAGGAAAACAGATTTAAACAGAGTTGTAGTTGCTGTAAACCCGTCTTTTCTCTTGAATACAAGACCAAGGCCTTTGTGGCTCTTCCGCCAGGTATACTACCAGTAGACAAAATGAAAACAATCCCCTATCGCATGGTTAGCGGTTAATTTTTTGTTTAATGATTGTTCATTTCCGTTGGCGATCTCCTACGATCTATATGAAGAGCAACAGATGAATCATGTAATCTAGTTTGGACTGTGTAATTTGAACTATCAGTGTGGCGTCAGTGCACTGCTTTTAACAAAGTAGGTATTCCTCAGGTCTTTAAAAATTCAACTCCCATGTGTCTCGTCTTACTAGTGCAAAAATGTGATGCTGTTTGGATGTTGAAGATGAGTTTTACGCATTATTGCTACCTTCTCGGCCCGATTTATGGGTCAAGAAACAAGTGGGCAATATTTTCATTAAATTTGGTGACTGATCATCCATTTCCTAGCAGACTCGCTCCTTGAACTGATGCAATAATCTACCTTTTCTTCGAATCACTGTATGAAGAAAAACATCCATAGGACAGGCTCCTTATCCTTGTACTCCTCTCAGAAGGAAAGAGTGACGCGACGCCAAGCCAAAGTCGCTAGGGGATGCAAGCAAAAAGTTTGAGAACCACTGCCCTAACCAGTTTTCCTCCTATTTCCTATTGGTAAGCTTAGCAAACGCAATCAAGAACTCCCTCTGATCTTCATGTTGCACGAATTCTAGGCCATGTCTAAAGAATGAAAACATATTTCGTACTTCCAGGTTAGTTCCCAATTACATAAAATCGTGAAGCCTCCATTAATATCTGTTGGCAGAGAAATTCATATTCATGAAAACTAATTTTCCAGTATGATATGTCATAGATAGTTAGAACGTAGGAAACACCAACTAATTAGGCAAAACACTCAAAAAATGTAAAATGATAATCAATTAACCTGATCAGTAAACAGTTTTCCATGGACCTCAATTCTCTTCATTCAATTACGCTGACCTATCTAGATATTTCAGTCAAACAGAACGGAAATCCATGTTTTCAAACCGTATTGACCAAAATAATCGATCCCAGATCTGGTCATTCGATAAAGACATAGTGAGATTTCCGTTCCACACCAAAGAAACAATCTGGCATTTAATCACTTCTTTTATTACGTGCATAAATGTTAATCAATAGAAAATACAATATGTACAAATCATAAAATTGCATGCATTCACTGAAAGAAGTTCCACGAGGTGCAATGGTGAGCTTTCGATCACATCAGCCAGATTCCATAGCGAATATTACTATGTCAAATTTAAATATTTTGTAAAAAGATATTATGTCAAGCAGATTCGGCTAAATAGATTAAATACATGAATCATAGATTGTGTAAATTTGGTAAAACTGACCAAAATTGAATTTAAAACCAAATCTGAGTTTTATATTGCCCAGGTGATCAGGAAAAACCAGGCTTCAGCCTTCAGCGGAAATAAGACGTTTGCCTTTCTCAATCAAGGAGGACAATCCCTTTCCCTCAAGCCAAGAACGACTCTTCTTCACCATTAGTTCCCAGTGATCTTGATATGCTGACAACTTCAGCTCCATGAAGACCACGGCTACTGCAGTGACCAAATCGGAATCCCCGCATTTGTTTGCAGCTTTTTCCTTGAAGAATTCCTCCTCGATTACGCCAAATAACACCAAAAGTTGCTGATCGAATGGGAATGACCCGTCAAAACGCTGCATGGTGGTCAGTAACTTCAGCTTTCCTTCATCTGTGGTCATATCGACTGTTCTAGTATCAGACACGGCCAGAAACGTTTCTTCCTTTTCGTGAAGATGAGCCCGATCGCGAGCAATGGAGTCGGAGGAGGCAAAATCCTCGACGGAGGGTTGATAAAATTCTTGATCGTCAAAACCTTGGGCAACCAGAGCTGCATCACAACTAATCATTTCATTCCTATCTGTCATTATGACATTGAGGGGAGGCACACACGGAGCATACCTTGCAGATTTCATGGAACAGGGGGGAGGTGGGGGAGGAGCATAGTCGCATTGCATACTCATCATTAGAGGAGCAGAATTAAATGAACCTCCGAGTGGAGGAGCACTCATGCACATACTATATAATACGGGCGGCATGCCTCCACCTGCCATACCATATCCAAATGGCATCATGTTTGGGACGGTCCTAAGGACAGGAGCATCCTTTTGTATCTCTCCTTTTTCATCAACAGCAACAAAGGAGGTGAGACTGGATGCCAAGTTGTATTTAATACCCAAATAAATTGCAGTGTTCTCCTTCTTCGAATGATCATCATTGTTCAGTATTCGATCTTGCAGCTCTTCTTCCAACTCTCGAATGACAGACTGTGCTGCAAGAGTGTGCACAATATTCCCAACAGAACTCTCCTCGAGAATCACAGGGAACGTCACCGATAACGGCCCCACTGGAGAATCAGCACTCAACGTTATCGCTTCTGGAATGATGTTAGGATTGTTATATATGCAATAAGCTGCATAACAACTGCCATCAAAGATACAAGGGAATTTTTTGATGCTCATCAATGGGTCTCTGACTCTCTCGATTTCTTCATCTCCTTGAACATCCTTCTTCTCTGGTGCAGGTTTTCCATACCCGAGCAAAGTTTTCTCAGTGACGACTTCATGAGGCTTACCAGGCTCTGGCTTTTCAAAGGTGTCTGAGTGAGCCCAAATTACTTTCACAGAGGTCAGTGAAGGTTGAAACGAGTTCTTGAGAAGGTGCTGGACTTTTCCACTCAGTCCCTCTTTCAGAGTGGCAAATTGAGCTTCTCCATTCCCAGCAAGTGCAATACCATTCACGAGATAATGACTCGCATCACTCCCCACACCTAAGGCAAAAACCCTTGTCTCACTCGTTTTGCAGTTTTCTCTTACAAGTGCAATAACTTCCTCTGTGTTGCTCACTTCACCATCAGTAAGAACAATCACTTGACGATGGTAGCCATCACGCTGTACCTGCTGGAAAATAGTTGAGAGAGGTTCGTAAATTTCCGTTCCACCGAAGTTTGCTTCCATCTCAAGAACATGTGCAGCTGCCTTGTGCAGGCTGTCTTCTCCGTATTTTTGACTTCCCTCCCATAATGAAGAAAAAGTAGAGCCAAAGCTCATGATGTTAAAATACGAGTCCGTTGGCAATGACTTTAGGAACAGCTGCAATGCATCTTTCGCCTTCTCCATCTTTTCCCCACCCATTGACCCACTACGGTCAATCACAAATATGAAATCACACTTCAATGGGGGTAGTTTGAAACTTGGGATCAATGTAATCATGGCCGCAACAGTGGAATCGGAACTTTTCTCCAATGTCAGCCTTGGCTGATGATGTGCCTCTGTCTCCAGAAGCATCACAAAATCTCTGTCCATGTCTGTCGAAACTCCTTGGAGTTGCACCTCTGTCCTGAAGTTCCTTTTTGAGACTGAAACCTCATTCTTCGAGGAGATTTTGACTTCATGCGTGGGACTGTTGATGGATAGAGCTTTTCGTTCCGTCTCAATATGGATTTGGATTTCTAAGGGACATGGTGAGAAGAATGAGTAATCGATGTCGCCGATTACTTTCGCAGCTTCACTGGCATCACTTGGTGGAATATATCTCGGGGCAATGGTCGTAGGAAGGAAAAATCGGAGTGCATTTCCTTCTGCTGTTGCTTGTGTTACATATGTTAGAGTTATGGTTGCGACACTCCCAGCAGAGAGATTCCCGATTCTTGCCTGAAATATATCCGGCTTGGTTTCCTCGACGAGAAACGCGGTTTTTCCTTGTTTCACCGATTCTTCGTAGATCTCCCTAGCTTCCTGTTTCTTCTTTACCGCTCCATGAATTGTCCTCCCTTCAATTTCAGCCTGAAAGCCGCATACAGCAGCTCGATCATCCACGGGGAATACATATTGGGTTTCCACTGGCCTAATGGGAGAAAAAAGTAACTCTCAAAATTTAATCATTAGTTTTGAAATACCAATGATTCGATTCTAAATAGACGGCTAGCATTGTAATATTTCTTCGGCGTGGGGTTGCACAACCCAACAGTAATGTTGGCCTCAGAGGCCCTCATTAATGCCACATTCCCACACCTTTGAAAGGGAAAAGCTGGTTCATGGTACCGTTATCAAATGAGTTCATCACAGGAGTGATATAAAACTGCAAAGGCCTGACTGATTGGTCCCTGATGTGACTCGACTATTTAATTATGGCTTCCATAGGTAACGGTTTTGTCTCCAAGCAGTTAACAATATTAACACCCATCGACCCTTTCCAGTATAAAAACTCCTACGTCAACATACATGTTGGATACTTGGAACATGCCATTAAGGCTAAAATAGAGTGGACTATAGCATATTATAGGCAAACGAAACCCCATGCTTTATAATGAGAAAACCAAACTTTTCGTCCAGCGGTTTCGTGGATCATCTGACCTGGTTAGATCTTTTCTTATGCAATTAGAATACGTGAAATGATTGGGCACACGACCCTAGCCGTTTTGACTATCACAACAATCATGTAAAAAAAAAAGAGATTGATTGAGGTAGAGAATGAAAATAATTAGTAAAAAAAATTTCGAACTAAAAAAAGGAATAAAGATTCTGTTAAAAAACAACTCCTGGGCCGGATATCTTTGATTTGAATGCCATTTTTAGATCATTTTTAACGTCCAACTTGGCTTGAACATTACAATATGCTATTTTATCACTTAAAAAAAGCCAACCCAGGGGAAAATTCAATAAATTTTGCTGCAAGACGCATTTATTGTAACTGGTGATCAATTAGGATAAAAATATTGCTCCACTTTAAAGGATGAAAGCTATGGCATCTAATGATCGCATGAGCACCATTCTGTCCCGGAAAAAATTATAACAAATAAAAAAATTCAAAATTGAACATTTAAGCGATCAACATATTTTTAATAAAATAAAGGGAGTTTAATATGTTTTACACATTTACTGCTTTTTCTCCAGATGAATTTTTGTTCTTAAATCTTTTTGCACTCCTGGAAACATTTAATGCTTTCAAACTTGTTGAAAATTAATCTTACATACTACCTACAAAAAATCTCAATGACAACAAGGGAGATAAAATATCTGTATCTAAAATGTGATCCCAGGTTCTTGTGTCTTACTTGGTTTCCTTGTTCTTATAGGTCTGTGTGAGGGTGACCTTGATGCCTACATCCAACCAAGTGACATCAGCTGAGACTTTGGTGAGGGGAATGGGGCGCAACTCCTGACCATCTTCACTGGAAATCACCAGGCCACATTCACAATTTTTATACTTTCCATAAGTATTTGCAAACATAATCTTGTCTTGATGTTACCTGTAGTCATTGGCAAAATATGAAACAAATACATTTTCAATGCCACATACAAGTCAACTTTCAAAAGGGTATATTTCTATAGACCCTATGCACCCTGTTTATTCCAAAAAAAATTGCAAGAAAATTATGCAACACTTGTATATTTTGCATTTGTAATGTATCTCATTCACACCCAGTTCCATATCTTCTGCAGGCTGCCAGAACACAATCTTCCTGCATTGAGAAATATATGTACACCTTTTATCATGGGTTTAAGATGACATAGAACAAGTGCAGCCACAGCCCAATCACAGTAGAAAAAATGGACATACAGAACTCAATCTGAAATCCCTTTACAAATGCAGTTAGAAGTGGTGGTTGGTGAGCTGCACCAGAAGTAAATTTGCCAAAGAGAGGGAGGGTATTTAGTAACTGCACTGTCTCAATTGAGAACTATTTTTACAACAGATAAGGAGCCAAGTCTGGGAGAATGATCAATAACTTTCTATCTATGACGTTAATGAGCAGAACTTCCACAAAAGATCCCTCATTAAGCAACAGTCATTCAAGACTGATGCTTAGAAAGTTATGAGATTCCAGGGCTTCCTCCCACCCAACCTCACCCTGCAGGCTTCATACACTGAAGAATGCCTATGATGTGGAGAAAGAGCACTTAGGTTATAAGCACATCTTCCCTGTTCCAGGCATAAACCTAGCCTCAGCCTAAGCTCAAAAAGAAATTGCTGCAAAAGTTGAACGAACTTACAGTTTGCAAAGCATAAATTACCTATTCACCTGCAGCTCCCTCATATAGCATTTGCTTTCATTAAAAACCCTATTCTTCAAACACATCTCTAAGTGATCTGTAACTAGACCAAAAAAATTCAAAACTTTTTGAATGCTTTTGATTTTTTTGAGAGAGAAATGCCTCCAACCCAATGTTGAGGTAATCCTTGAAGATTAGTATATTCATTATAAAATATCATGTACATTTCTGATAGCACCAAGAATGTGTTTGTGAGCATTTCTTGTTGTGATGGATAGATTGGAAAATAATTTTTTTTTAAATAATATATATTTTGTTGCTTATGATTTTGCAAACTGTCATTGAGGTCCCATTTGCTACAAACTAATTCTTCTTGAATGTGTTCAATCCAGACACAGGTAGACATCAGATCTGTAATATCTCAAGCCCTTCGGTTCACCATTCACATCGATGACATAGAAAATTAAGATTACATTATGACTTCTGGCAGTGACTATTTCTATGGTACCCAAATGGAGGAATTCTACTTGGCTCAATGCGAGTTTGCTCATTCAGTTCTGCAATGTCATGAATACAATCCTAAAATTGTTTCTGCCTCTTTTCCAAAATAATAATGTTTATGATAATGTTTTCCTTAGAAGAAAAAATGGAAGGTTCTGCTTCCAGTTACTTGTTGCTTGGTTTGGACAGACTTCAGCCACTTGGAACAGAAATATGGTTACCCTTGACAAGTGGTGTTAGCCAAACGCCAAACAGTTAGAAACGACATATTTCAGGGTAGGACTAGCTCTAGGCCTAACTTTGTTTACACTCCAAATGAAAGGCTTATCGTTCACAACTGAAGGCCGGCTAAGGTCAATAATCACTGGTTACGTTTTCCTTGCTTTTCAAACTTAGTTTTGGTTTAGAATAAAATGTAACTTCTTGCTCAAGGTAACATGCTGGCATGGTTGACTTGGAGTCACTATTAAGGGTGGAATTATAATTTTTTGAGTGGACACTATAGGAATATACGGAGGCCTACGGAGGAACGATGGGGTGCATGTATTGGGCGGATGAATACATAGAATGGGGATCTGAGTGAGTCTTCGTGTAAGAACATGGGCAGTCGGCATAATTAGGGTTAGGGAGAGCAGTTTGGGTTTATAGAAACGCCACGAAAGCTGTTAGGAACGGTCGGCAAGAGTCTTGACATTGAGATATTGACAAATGGCGAGAGATGCGCGAGACTACTGGCAGTTTCCTGAATCAGTATGGCTGCCGCCATTGCAGGAGAGCGCATATAGATCCAAGAACCATTGCCTTAAATATGAAATAAAGTTGCCTTATTGACTTTTTTCGCTAAAATTAGAGTTCAGTATGTGATGTGGGAGGGTTACCTTTGGATTTCATCAGACTCTTCCCTTATTGGAGTTCGCCAGCGATCACTTAACTTAAACCTGAAGGCCTAACGTTAGCCTATAATTTCATACAGGCCTAACCTCTACTGCGTGGGGCACTTTTCACAGATATCCTTGCCACCAAGATTTTCTAAAATCTTTTTGAGATTCGGTTTTCCAATCGCGTGAATATCGCATTACGAATCAAGCTCTCACTCGAACTAAAAAAGTGATAGCAGGAATCATTGGTTATTGCGGAACACGTGCTCCGATAGGGAAGTGCGCCGCATTGTTATTGAACAGGTTTCGCCATCTAGCTTAGAATTTGAGGATTGCAAGTGATTGTCTGTATACCTAGATGCCTCTGACATTGGAAATCCACGGACATTTCTGGAATTTGAATCCGGTGGTCAACTCCGCTCTCCCTGATCATTCTGTCCTCTGTTCAACGAACGCATCGGCGAAAGAGCTTCATACTTCACGATCGACTGGGTCGATAGGGCCCGACACAACCTGCTTCTCTCACTGAAGAGGATGGACAAGAGCCATCTCCAAAACTTTTACGGCCGGTGAACTAAATATAAACGAAGGGAAGCACTAAAAGCATATGCCAAGCTAGTCGTCCTCAAATCCGTGAAGCGACAGTTAGCATCCCCAATATCCTCACACGACCTCCATGCGCTTCTATCCGGAGGGCACAGGTCTGCCCACGCGCAACCTCGCCAACAACGCGTCGTCTGCTAGAAACGTCACTTGGTTCCGGTACTCACGGAATTCCCCTCGACTCCACACGCAACTCCCCACGCCGCCTCCGCGATTCCTCTTCCTCTATCGCGTGTGCAAAGCTTTTGTTCTTCAGTGCTTCCCGTTTCCCTTCTTGCAGAGGCGTCGCTGGTGTTTTTGTTTCGGATAATTCACCCAACATCCCCGAAGGAATCATCACTTCTCATGTGACCGTCGAATGTCCATTTTGAATTATTCTTCCATCGATGACCTCATGCGATCGACCACATGTCTGAAACATTCACCTGTGACTTTCACTTGATTCTACTCAATCCTATTTCTATTCATTCATTAACAACATACCCACACCATATTTGCTATATTTTCCGCATGGTCACGTGATTAATGAATAATCCATGAATTCTTGACCTGATATTGAGAAGCCCCTCAACAGATTTTTCCGCTTTCACTCTCAATATTTGAGAGTTCCTATCCAGAAAGGCAAATATTTATCAATCGCAAGAAGTCTAGAAGAAAAAGTTTAATGCGATCCAGTATAAGATGCAAAAAGCACTGACGACGATGCGTCCGAGCGGCTTGAACCTCTCCTATCTCGTAAGATCCCTCCCTCCCTCCAGGTAACCAGTTCATTTGCACACGTGTACCTCAGATCAATTTTTTTTGCATGGTTTGGAGGAAAATATTAATAGCTCCTCCGCGATTAGGCGATTCTCACTACTCATGGAATAACTTTAATGCAATTGGATGGCCTTTTAGTATTTAAAAAATAATAGCAGCGTGATGGGGTCATCGAACGCAGGCAAGGGATTAAAGGTCCTCTCTTCCCTCTGGAGGTTTCCTCGCGGTCGAGGCCGAGGTTCTGGCATCTTCGCCTCGCTGGTCTTTCGTTCCCGCTCTTTATAGACAGCTCAGGAAAAAAGTGAATTTCCTCAATGAATCGCGAAAGGAGCCCGGTCATACGAACTGGTGAAAAACGCAATACTTATTTCCTCTCTGCTTTGTCCTGGTCGCGATGTAGAAGTGCCTGCTAAAGCAGATAGGAAAGAAATTCAATGGCTAACGCGAGAGTCCCGTCTTTTCTACAAGGCAATCCAGTTGAAATTAAATTGAAAACTGAAATTGAAATTAAAGCAAAGGTACGAAAGTGTCCATTTCAATGCACTTCCCATTGGAGACAGCAAGTCGATCCAGAAAAGGGAAAAAAGTCATTCGGGATTCACTTTTGCCAAATGAAAGCATCCCCGTATTGATACTCGATTCATCCGGATTCGAGCCCCGAGTACAATAGTTCAGTCCTGGAATTCCAGGAAGGGCTCGTCGGATTTCCAAATGAGTCGACATTGTGACTGGCCGGAACTGCGATGCGGAGATCCCGCGCCGTCACAAGTCACCGTCACATCACATTCCATTCACTCCATGCAACCGCATTCCCACCTTCCACTCACCTTCCACCCACCTTCTCCTCACCTTCCACTCACCTTCCACTCACCTTCCACCCACCTTCCCACCTTCCACTCACCTTCCACCCACCTTCTCCTCACCTTCCACTCACCTTCCACCCACCTTCCCCCCCCCCCTACCCCCGATCTCCATGGGTACAATCGACTCCTGATAAGCCAAAAGCTCCAAGTCGCGCCTTTCCCCTCCGTCTGATTCTCGGCGCCGCTATCTACCATCGACGACCGGATTGCCGTGACAACGCACAGCTAGGCAGATCCATAACGTGATCGATGAGAACGCCTCACGAGCGGCAAAATCGCGGAGAGTACGACTCAAATAATAGACGAGTGAATTTGCGGAAGTAACCGATAATTCCATCGATCTGGATCGAACGAAGCGAACGAGCAAAACCTTCCTCTTCCACAGTGAGAGGCAGGGTATAGATATATTATGCATAGGTGGAGATTCCAGCCGCCACGATGCGATGCAGGAGCGCAATCGAGTCCACGATTCGAGGACCTCACAGGCACGCTCGACGAGGCGGAATCCGACTCGGCACTGCCCCGTGGTCAGCCGCGGGAGGGGGGGGGGGGGGGGGGGGCCCTTGGGGCTATTGACAGCTGGAAGGAACCATCATGGCGTGAAGTAAAGACCTGAGGGGGAGCCCGACCGCCTTCAATTAAGAATTCCGAGAGAAGAACAAGAATTCATTCATGAGAAACGTTTTAATGGGGGGGGGGGGGGGGGGGGGGGGGGGGGGGGGGGGCGGACACTTGGCGTTAGGGACTTGCTTGACTCGCACGATCAAAGCACTGACCGATGAATATAATCGTGTGAACGTGGGCACGAGCTCATACGAAGCACACCTCGGAAGCACACGTGTTCCACCCCCCCTCAGCGCCGGGTAACTGCAACGCAATAGAGGCATGCGACGGAATAAGAACTGTTGCGCATGCGCGGTGGAACTCCGATTCAGATTCCTTCACACTCTTCGCATACCTCCTATTCCGCATCGTGCCGGGGGTGTGAAAATACGGAGAGGATCCTCGTCGACCCACGGGCCAAGGTTTTGGCGTCGAGAGCCAATTTTGTCCATTTCCCGAGTCGAGGTCACGCACACCACCAAAGAAGGCTTTGTATCCTTGAAACCTTGAACTTGGAATCATAAACCACCTCCGAAAGCACAGGCTTCCTAGGCCGCGCGTAGCTGAGAAGGTGCAGCCGCACAGTGCAGGTGCAGTGGTGTAATACTGGGTGTCCGGTCGATTCCTCGACGGTAAATTCCCCGACGATCAATTCCCCGAATGGTTATTTTCCCTTTGGTCAATCCCCTAACAGGACAGTTCCCCGAATGACCGATTCCCGGAGCGGTCAGTTCCCCAGCGTTTACATATGAGCGACCTCACGGTCGTGGAAGGAGGACAATCGACCGCACCCATCTCATTCGTGTCTAAGAGTCCATTTATGGTCCACTCCCTTACTGTCTCCGAAGAGGTACAATGACACAAATAACAGAACAACCCTACTAGATAAAAGTTTTTATCTAAATATATATATTACTAGCGAGTTTATGGTCGCACCTTCGGCGCTCCATTATCTTGGATAATGATTAATTCACGTATTCTTTACGAAATGCAAACACGTATTTAAAGTAGGTCCACATTAAAATATGTGACATATGGGGAATAAATTATTGATTTTTTAAATATCATAATCACAACTTCTATATCTACAGTTCCAAACTTGAAATCTTTTCATGTGTCCCTTTTTGCAAGGGTAAGAGAATACATTTTGAAATACTTTCCTCATATAATCTATGCTAAGGGGACATATTTCAAAAGTCGGAATTTTTCTGTACTCAGCCATCAAACAGGTACTCCTGAGGGAAGTTTAAATTTCCAGTCTCTGTTTCGTTGGATCAAAGAAAAATTCAGGAAAATGGGACTTAAAAAAAGTGCCCTGATGGGTTGTAACGAATTTTTTTTTCTTCTGAAATGTAGATATAGAAGTTGTGATTATGATATNCTTAAAAAAAGTGCCCTGATGGGTTGTAACGAATTTTTTTTTCTTTTTAAATGTAGACTCAGGGAACTCCATGCCACCCAGTTTCAGCCTTATACGTTCCCCCTTTTTGCTGGCGGGAAAAAAATGTGTTTAGAAAAGCTGTGCTCTGAGGAGACGCACAACAAAAGTTGAATTTTTCCTT